TAGATTCCACCATGGAGTTGATTACCACATGGGGAATACTACGTCCAGCTGCCCAGACACTCAACCAGGCCTAGCCAAGTTGACACACAAACTTAACCACCACAGAGAGCTTATTGCTTCAGTATTCCCCTTGATCTTCCATCCTTTTGATTGCTAACCTGAGTTCTGAGATTATTGTTTTAATCAAGTTTTACTTATTTTCTATGGTAGAAAATAGGTACCCCTATTTTTTGTAGGGGTATAGAAACATGAAACTGATTACACCCCTATCTTACTCCACTTACCTCTGGTGTTGTCAGTTTTTGTGAAAGGGAAAATATTCATAATTATAAACACACAGAATTTTGTCTTGCTCTTTGTTTACTTTTTAGCTGGGGCTAAATTAATTATTAAAGAATACATGAAGCCTTGGAAACAGCAGCTACCTTTCATGAAGAGAAGGGGTTGATGATGTACCAGGTGAGAAAGAACTTTTTTGTTTTTGTTTTGTTTAACTGCATACCTTTTATAAACAGTATAGGTTTTGCACTTTGGATATATATTACCTAATGGAAAGTTCCTTTTCTTTTAAAGAAGTTATTACACAATCCAAGGGAAAATGTGCCTACTACCCAACCCCCAAGCAGGGGTCCAAACCTCTTCATCAGACTGAGCCTCCTTAAAGACTTGGACCCAAGGCAGTGATGTGCACATCTACATACTGGTGGATCCAGAGCTCTTGGAAAGAAGGAGCTCCACCTTCTTCTTCTGTTCCTAATGCCCTGGTGCCTCACCCCCTCGAGAAACATTTGTTAAAATAACTGGCTCCACCTAGAGCAGTCTATAATTTTAATATCCTGCCCATCAAAATCCTAATAACCTTATTTCAGAAATACAAAAGCCAGTCCTTAAATTTATATGGAAGGGCAAATTACCCCCAAATATCTAAAATAATCTTGAAGAAGAAAGGAGGAAGTATCACACCTCCTGATTTCAAAATACACTTGTTGTTGTTGTTGTTGTTGTTGTTATGTGCTGTCGAGTCAGCCCTGACTCATAGTGACCCCTCTTTGGGTTTCCAAGGCAGTATCACTAC